GACCAGGAAAGGCAGCCACGTGTTCGATATAAGAGGAACGTTCGGATGGTATTGATTTATAAATTCTCATCATTCTCAAATGTTTAAACATATTCTCTCCCCTCCTGTACGAGTCTTATTTTATTTTGAGTTTTGTGCTCTAGATGGAAATGCGTTTGTCGGCGGATACTTCAAGTGGTTCCTTCGACAAAACCAAGGCTGAACGCTTTGCCGCAATGACCTCTTCAAACGTGAAACAGGAGAACTTTCCGTATGTTTGAAATCTAAAATAGCTTTGCTTTTTGTAACCAACAGTACTATAAATCACAGATCATCAAACTTTGATGAAATTTATGAGGGACGAGCATTCCGAAAAGATGACTTTGTCGAATATGCTGTGGGATACTTTCAGGGTGGTAAGTTCTGTACGATTACTCTCTGCCTTATGTCGTTGTATGATACTGTCATTTTCCTTTCGTCAGCATTTCGGATAATATTCAGATACGTTTTACTTGAGTCCGCTTTCCGGGACGTTCGAAATGCATCGTTCACTTTCACATCTCAATAATGTGAGCAAAGGGCGTGACGATGAAGGTTTGTAGGGGGTTAGGCAGCCTCTCATTTTGTTTACTGTATTCTGCTCTTTCAAGGTGACGATGGTGAGTCAGATGGCGAAAATCCAAGCGGCAGCGCGCAACAGGTTCTGAATTACATTTAGCCATTCACATTGTTCCACGATCCAAATGATTTATCATCCTTAGCTCGTATGTATAAGCTGCCCTTGAAAAATGAAGATCCTCCACCCCTTTTTTTTCTACTATAAAAAGTTTGCTGGCTTATACATTCGAAATTAGGAAATAACATGAGTTTAGTTTCCAAAATGAATTTAGATACGAGTTAAATTTTCGCGGCCAGAGACTGAAAAACAGAAGAAACGCCGCGAAGCTAGTGCTTTACATAGGGAAAAATTGATTGCAAGCGATTCGTGGATTCCGATGGAAGTTCATCTAAAAGAGGTGGTTCCCTACATTTTTGTATAAACATTAGTTATTTTGGGTATGTCATGTGTTATATTGACCAATGACGACGGTCACTGATTAGTGTAAGA